GCTGTAATCCACAATTATACCTATTTGAATTACACATGTATATTTTTACCATGAGCTTAAAGTGCATATGTGTATGCAGTACATCCGTGTATAACTTTTTGTATTTAATATGCATTTTCATGAATAAACACGAATCTTAGCACCATTTTTAATGGTTGCATATTAAATTATATTGGATTAATAGAGTATAATTTGTTTAACACGTGCCCTATTGTTGGGCATTTATGTTCTTGATTTTTCACTGTTATAAACCATGCAGTGTTGAACGTTTGTGTACTTACATCTTTGTGCTTCTGTCAAATTTATTTTCTTTGGATACATTCGTAGAGGTGAAGTTGCCAGGTTAAAGGGTATGCATATTTTTAAGAGTGGCCACTTCATTTGAAGGAAAAAAATTCATTTGAAGGAAAAAAAATAGTGTGGATTCACTAAACAGCAGTCCTTGGATATTATAGCTTTGGGTAGAAACATTTATATCACATATGTTGGTGGTTTCCAAACCTGGTTGATAAGCAGAATAGTAGCCCCAACGATGTCCACATCCTACTCCCAAAAACCTGTGAATACGTTAGGTTACATGGCAAAGAGGAACAAAGGGAGCAGATGGTATTCAGATTGCTAATCAGCTAACCTTAAAACAATGGGATTATCCTGGATTATCTGGGGCCCAATGTAATCACAAGGAATCAAAAAAAAAATGGAAGAGGAAAGAAAAAGAAGAATCATAGGGATGTGATTATGGAAGAATGATCAAAGAGATGCAATGCTGCTGGCCATAAGACAGGGAATGTGGGCATTCTCCAGAAGTTGGAAAGCGTAAGGAAACAAATCCTCTCCTGGAGCCTCCAGAAGGAAGGCAGCCTAGTGGACATGTTGATTTTAGCCCAGTGAGACCCATGTAGGACTTTCGATCTCCAGAACCATAAGATAATAAATTTGTGTTGTTGTAAGCCGAGTGTGTGGTAATCTGTTACAACGGCAATAGGAAATGGATATACCTGCTTACATATGAGACTAATGGCAGGGGTGGGCCTGGAGGAGTTCTTTAACCCCAGAGACATTGATCCAGCTGTCTAGGGAAGAGCCGAGGGGTATTTATTTTCAACAAGCTCCCCAGTTGATACTGATACATCCAGTGAAGATTTTGGGAACCCTGATATAGACCACATAGGTTTGCAGAAGTAACCATCTCCTGTTATGTAGACAGTCACTTGCTGGCCTAGAGGATGGTGTAGGCAGGTGATTGAAGATGTGCCTGGGGCTAACCTGGGGCTCTAATCTGGCACCAAACTTAACTCTACCTCCTGAGTGACAGTGTCATTCAACCTCATCAATCTTACCCTAATCTACCTTTCCAGCTTGATTTTCAACTGCTCTTCAACACCAATGCTCCTCTCCAGACAGACTAGACTCTCTAGACAGTCTAATCACCATCTATTCAACAGGTCTTGGGATTGCTCTCTCTGTATTTTCTATTAGAATTCTGCTATATGCTGTGTCAGCTGGGTCCTCCAAGGAGCAGGTGCTAAGAAGGAGTTAGAGGTGTGGGAGGTTTATGAGGGGTGGGTAACACCTGTGAAAGGGAAAAGGTGGTGGAACCAGGATTGAGCAGGGAGAGCCTCAGACCATGAAGCAGATTGGACAAGGTCTCAGCCAACTCAATAGGAGCTCTGGCACAAATACGCCCATTAGAGGAGACCCACTCTGGGCAGAAATGGCCAGGCCTTTGTACCCCTATAATGCTGTCATTGGCTGAGGGATGCCTACAGAGAGCATGGTTGTAGCGGATCCTGAGGTGCTAATAGTTAGAGGCAGTCAGCTAACTCCCCCCTTGCAGATGAATGGCCAATCTCTTTCTTGAAGGGAGTTTCTGGCAGCACCTCTCCGTGGCTGTCATGGTTCTCCCTTCTGCTTGTTCTTCAGTTATCCACACTCTGTCTTCTTCTTTGAGACCCAGTATGGCAACTGTTGATAGGTCTTGTCATAATTACTACATTTATTTCAAAATACAGGCTCCTAGGGCTGGAAATGACTTTAGGGATCAACTCATTTTACACATGGAGACCTGAGACACAGGGATGTGGGGGATAGGGTGGGGGGGAAGAGGGGTAGAAGTGACTGGTTCAAGATGACACAGCTAGCTAGTGACAGAGCCAGGACTGGAACCCAGGTGTCCTAACTCTCAGTCCAGGTTTGCAGTAGCATTAAAAAAAGGCCTCCTGTTTTTTTTTTTTTTTTTTAATTCTAGAATGATTATTTATTTATTTATTTGAAGGCCTCCTATTTTTAAGATTAGTGGAGGGTCACAGTTTTCAACTAAAAGGTAACCATAACTGCTGTAAATAAGTAGAGCAGGCTCATTAACTTGTTCCTAAGCATGCAGAATCATTAAAATGAAGAATAAAATAAACAAACTTATCTATTATTTATTTATTTATTTGAAGGCCTCCTATTTTTAAGATTAGTGGAGGGTCACAGTTTTCAACTAAAAGGTAACCATAACTGCTGTAAATAAGTAGAGCAGGCTCATTAACTTGTTCCTAAGCATGCAGAATCATTAAAATGAAGAATAAAATAAACAAACTTATCTTTGTGATATTCGAGACTTGATTTATAAATTTACAAAGAGATAGTGATAAAACTGTAATCCTTATGAAAATGCTATAGCTCAATTCATTTCTAAAGTCACCATTAATACATAAAAATTCACAGTAACATGCTATTTAAAAATCTCACACATTAAAGGAATTGAAATGGAGCATTGCATTATTACCTCACATTTTGAAAATACAAATGGCTTACAAAATTATTTTCAGCTAATTATGTTAAACTAGGGAAATAATCAGGGAAAAGTCAGCATTTATTTTTTACATGGGAGAAAACTGTTATATTCTAGTTAGCATTTATTTGTGGTGGAGTGATTTTATTTTCAGCTTTATGCAAGATATTGATTTTTAGAATGGAAAAGTGCTTAAGCACAAGTCTTGATTGAATCTGCAAACAACATTCTTATCTGGGATTTTTAAAGGATAGCTTTTGCTACCAGAAAAAGGAAATTACCACTTTTTTTTTTTTTAACTTTTTCAGAGACAGGCATTATTCAAGTATGTGGGAATTTCCAGTCCATTTAAAGCAATTTCAATTCTCCCAGATTGTAAAGGTCAGGAATGGGCGTGTGTTGGGGTGGGGGAGGGTGATGGTGAAGGGCTGAGGCGGCTGGTCAATCAGAGCCCATCAGGCCACTTGGCAATTTCTCAAAACCGTAGAGAAAGATGTGAGGGAGGTTTATGGGCTCTAGCCCTAATGGCCCTGACTTTGCACGGTTTCAAGACATTGACAGATCTGGTGGAAAAAATTCCACTGCCCGAATCCTCCGTCCAATTAGCATCTCACAAGATTATCACCTAAAGTGTAGATGAGGCCACACAGACAACACACAGAGGCCAATTACTCTACCTTTGTGTGTAAAGGGTGACATACATCTTGTGGGGGGGGGGGGGGGGGGGGTATTTTTTAATTGCAAGAGTAAAATGCCAAAGTGAGTCCAAGAAATGATTTTCAAGTTAGCCATTTGGAAGTAAGATGAGAAAGAACATACAGGATGGATATAGAAAGCTGGAAATCTAAGTCTGAGATTAAGTCGCAGTTGATCTGGGCGGGCATTTACTTGTGTATGTCAGAGGATCAGGGGTCTCATAGTGGCAGGAGGTCTTTTTTTTCCTCTTTATTAAAGTAGGAACATTGATTGCTGCTTTCAGCTTTATTCAGGAGAGAGCTCCTAGGGGTTTGCAGGAAATGTTACCAGATCACCCAGATGCCAGCTCTATTGGAATCATTTCTTCTTTTCCCTAAACAGCATATTAGGAATTTAATTCTGATGATATGTGTTATCTTCTAACACAGATGAATCTTTCTAGAATGAGCCAAAATAAACACACACCTGTGTAATTATATGTCACAAGTGCTAGAATCAGCCTCCACCCTGTTTTCCCAACCATCACCTCAAAAGAAACACAAAACCAAAATCAAAACTATGCTATCTACCCTAAGTGAATCATTGTGCAGTATATGCATGCATTGAAACAACACACTGAACGCCACAAATATGTACAAGTGAACGTTAAAATAAAAATTAAACACACACACACACACACACACACACACACAAACAAACAAAAAACCCAACAATGGCTTTTAAAGGTAAATAAACTTGAGAGAAAATGTACTGGCTAAGTCTTCCTTCCTCTTACTAAATCTAGACAACATATGTAACACACTGGAAAAATTGTTCTTGAGACAGCAGAATAACTATATTATTGCCAAGACCACCAGTCTTCTCATGCAAGAGTTATGGTCTTTATTTACATAGCAGATGGGAGGGAAGACTATTCAAGAGCCATCCTGATATTAACCCATGGTGAGTATTATGCTGGAGAGCAAAGAGCCCTAAGCTCAGAGGCCTGGGTTTCAGTGTTGGCTCTGCTCCTGGCTATGTGATCTTGTGTATAGGTCATTTACCTTCTCTAAGCTTCAGTATCTACATATATATATATATTTTTTTTTTTTTTGTCTTTTGTCTTTTTTCGTGTCCGGCAATGGATCGCAACCCTCAGTGTTGCCCCCGTACCAGACCAGGGACCGGCAACGGGATCGCAACCCTCGGGGTCGCTCCCGCGCCTCGCTCAGCCAGTGAGCGGGAACCGGTCTGTGTGTGGGATCCGAACCCTCGGGTGGGAGCGCCGCCGCGCTTCCCAAGCGGCGCACTTATCCAGTGCTCCACCGGGCCGGCCCAGTATCTACATATATTAAATGAAGATAATAATGCCAACCCTAGGGTTGTTGGGAAGTTTGAATGAGATGATGAATGTGAAAGAACTTAGAATCCAGAATAGCGTTATACGAAAACCTACAGTTTTATTATTATTCATCCTCTGAGCTGTTACACAGGAGCAAGCAGAGTGTGGGTGGGGAACATTAACAGAAGGGGCTTCCAGGATTGACACCAGGCAGGTACCCAGCTCACACTAGACACAAGGCTGTCTACCAGATTGCAGAGATGAATAACTTTGAGAAATTGTTATTTTATCTGGAACCATCTGGAGGGAGGTCTTGCTGCCATGTCTTGGAGCCTTGCCTTTCTCCTCCAACTTGACTAAAGATGCTGCAGGCATCCACGTGGGTGGCCCCAAAGGTTCGGTGCTGAAAAGAAAGTGAATATTTCCCAGATGTCAGTAACTTTGAAAGAGTTAAAGGAGAAGTTACATTGTTTGAGAATGCCAGGTGGGCCCCTTAGAAGGGCTGTAAGGTCCCGTCCTGATCCAGACAAACACCTGTGGGGTGACAGATGCCAGGGTCCTCATTCTCAGAGCAAGGGAAGACAGAAACTTGTGGAACTATATCCAAGAAATGCCCTGGATATGGAATAAGTTCTGTTCCAGCCACAGACCCCTTGGGATGGGGCAGTTTGTTAAATTTCCAATAAGTAAGTTCACAGATTTCTCAACAATTCCATTTGGAATCACTTCTTTAGAATTAGGGACCAAATTTTCCAAGTGAAAATGTTTCATTCATCATGGCTAGACTTTTCAGCTTCCTTCCAGACTATTTTTAATTTTATTTTTTTAATTTATTATTAGCATATTTATTCTTACAAATAGTGATATTTCTTTATGCCCTTTGCCCAACCAATTACTTCCAAAACCCCCTCCCTCCCTTCCAGACTTTGAAGATGTAAGGAACCCACAGCCTCAATACATTCTCAGCAGGTCTTGCCCACCCCACTTTCATTTTGTTTTTGGTAAAAGAGGCAGAAGTGAAGTTGGCCACAGTCTGGAAACAGCCTGGAAAGCATCAGGCTGTTCCTGGTATCTCGATTCAGTTGGAAAAGTGGGACAACCCCATAGGATACCAAGTGGTCAGTCTTGTTTTGAAAGACCCTGCTGGGAGAGAGTGAGGGGGCTGTGATTTCTGAGTGAAAGGGCAGTGGGAGCAGTGAGGGGGTGGGATGAACCTCAGAAGTGCCACCCCCAGAACAGCTCTTTTAACCATTTTATATGCTGGGAATTCACTTAACAAGCTTAAGGAAGAGATGAGCACAATTTTCGGGAGAGCATAAACTTGTGCCTGATTCAAAGCTCTTTATTGGCAGCAACAGAAAAGGACAGTGGTGTCTCTAGACCCTCTAGATTCACAGTAGAAACTCATGAGCAAGTTTGGAAAAAAGAATTCTCTTCAAATGGGAGTTCAACAAAAGAATGGATATTGTCTTCTCTCTGGAGATGAGCATCCTGAAAAACAGGACAAGCACATAATGAAGAAGCTGGCTCTGGGGTCAAATGAGCCCAGGTTAGAGTCCTGGCCTCACCGCTGCCTGGCTGTGTGGCCTTGGGCAAGTTACCAAGCCTATCTGAGCCCCCACTTTCCTCCTGTTAAATGGGGATATTAATAACAATTACTTCCTAAGATTCTAGTGAGGATTAAGCGAGTTAAACACATATAAAGCTCCTAGAACACTGGCTGGCACATATATGCTCAAAAAATGTGTGCTATTATTTTGTTAAAAAGGCAGTGTCTCTCCTTGTGGTAGAGTCAAATTATTGTATGGTCAAGCTGTACCTTAGCTTAGTGGGTAAGACTAAAGACGTTGGAGAAAACCGATTCCGGAACGTACTTTGACTTTGGGCAAGTTACTTAATCTTCCTAAATCTCAATTTTCCCATCTGTGAATGAGGGTAAAAATAGAACCTGCATTGTATACAACTACTGCTTCTTATTTTGCTTCACTTCCATGATTTTTGTCATTCTCCTTATCTCTAATGACCTTGTACTTCATTCTACCTCAGTCACTCATTCCCATGAGCACACCCTAGACTTTGCCATCCCCCACACTGGTAGAATGCTTGCAATCTCAATTTCAAACATCCACTCTCCAACCACCTACTCGGCTTTGTAGTCTTCTTGTTACTACTAAGTAAATCTTAGTACTGTCTTCATTGTCACATAACCTCCAATTCATCAACCTCCACTAGCCCATCAACTTCCATCTGCCTCCATTTCCTTATTTGTGCAGCTCAGATACCACGGTCTCTTGTTATAACATTCACTTGCAAATACCCTCAACTCCTTTTGCTTGTTCTCTCTCCATTGTGCTCACAAATCCCAACGCTGCAGGAACCTCCCCATTTACCTTCTCTGTGCATTACATTAACTTAATGTCACTGGTGAAAATCACACAACCCAACTGACCGTTCCCACTCGAAATTTATGAGCTCAGATTTCAGATCAGCACACAGAAATCCTGCTTTCGTGTGTCTACTCTCAGGCTTGTTTCCCATTGCCCAAGAAGACTTTTTCATACTTTTTCCCACTCTCTTCAAACAGCCCATAATGTCACTCTCAGCTGATGATCTTGCCCCATAGTTGACTGAGAAGATAGTAATGATTAGGTTAGTACTCTTTAGTCTCCCCACAAGCAAGCCTGCATGTCTGTTTGCATCTGTGTACTTATTCTCCTTTTGTACACTTCCAATGGCAGAAAAACCCCTTTTCCTATCAAATGTCAGTGCTGACACATGTCCCTTCAGTCTTCTCAGTGACTTCACACCCATCCTCCTACATCATCCATCCTCGTACACACTTTACTGGATCATTTCTATTATCATGCGATTAGACTCTAATATTTGCCTTTTTTAAAAAAATATCTTCTCTAACCCCGCTAGTCTCTTTAGCTACCACCTCATTTCTCTTTATCCCTTCAATGTTAAACTTCCCTAAAAAGTTTACTGTCTCCGTTTTCTAATCTCCCATTCACTCTTCAACCCACTCCAATCCGAAGTCAGGCTTCTGTCCACATCACATAAAAAAAACTGCTCTTAACAAGGTTACAAAAGTCTCTGATGCCATATCCATTAGAAATTTCTCTTTCTCTTATTTGACCTCTGGGCAGTCTTTGACAAAGTTGATCACTCTGTTTTGAAACATTTTCCTCTTTTAGTTTCTGTTATATAACACACTGTCCTGATTCTCCTCCTACCACACTGGCTACTCCTTTTCAATCTGCTTTGCTGATTCCTTATGTCCCTGACCTCTAAATACTGGCATTCTCCAGGCCTCTGTCCTCCGCCCTCCTCTCTACTCTATCTAAATCCTCTGCCTAGGTAATCACATCCAATGGCCTTAAATACCACTTGCATACTGATAAATCCCAAATGTTTGCCCAGAATTCTCTTCTCAACTCCACACTTAGATATACAAGTGTTCAAAAGATATATCCAGGGCCTGGCCCGTGGCTCACTCGGGAGAGTGTGGTGCTGATAACACCAAGGCCACGGGTTCGGATCCCATATAGGGATGGCCGGTTTGCTCACTGGCTGAGCGTGGTGCTGACAACACCAAGTCAAGGGTTAAGATCCCCTTACCGGTCATCTTTTTTTTTAAAAACAAAAAAAAACAAAAGATATATCCAGGGCCTGGCCCGTGGCTCACTCGGGAGAGTGTGGTGCTGATAACACCAAGGCCACGGGTTCGGATCCCATATAGGGATGGCCGGTTTGCTCACTGGCTGAGCGTGGTGCTGACAACACCAAGTCAAGGGTTAAGATCCCCTTACCGGTCATCTTTTTTTTTAAAAACAAAAAAAAACAAAAGATATATCCACTTGGATGTCTTATAGGCACCTCAGACTTACCACAGCCAAAACAGAGTTCTGCTCTAATCTTCCTCATTGTGATACATGTGCCACCATTCACCCAGTTGCTCAAGCAGGAAACCAAAGAGCTAACCTGAATTTTTCCATTTTCCTCACCACTCCTATCCAGCCCATTAACAAGTAAGAGCTAAATCTTCCAAATAGATCTCAAATACATCTACCTTCATGATGGAGTTTGGATGTGTTGTCCCCTCCAAAACTCATGTGGAAATTTGATCCCCAATGTGGCAGTGTTGGAAACTGATTGAGTCATGGGGGTGGATCCCTCATGAATGGATTAATGCTCTCCTTGTGGGAGGGGGGATTAATGAGTGAGTTCTCACTCTATTAATAATTTCCCATGAGAGCTTGTTTAAAAGACCCTGGCACCTCCCCTCTCTCTTGCTTCCTCTTGCCATGTTATCTGCTTGTACCTGCCAGCTGCCTGCCACTTTGTGCCATGAGTAGAAGCAGCCGGAGGCCCATGCCAGATACAGCTGTCCCAGAATCGTAAGCCAAATAAACCTCTTTTCCTTATAAATTACCCAGTCTCAGGTATTTGTTATAGCAACACAAAACGGACTAATACACTGTATCTATCTCCGCTGCTGCCACCTAATCCAGGCTATCATCCTCTCATGGACCTTGCCTCCTAACTGGTCTCTTTGTTTTCATTCTTGCCTTTCTCCAGTCTGTTCTCCCCACAACAGCTTTTGTGACTTTATTGGATGCAAATTGGGTCACACTTAAGATCCTTCCATGGCTTACCAAGTCACTAAGAAGATGAAATCTAAACTCCCAACATGATCCATAATGCCCTATGTCACTTGGCCCCTGCCTACCTCTCCAGCTTGTCTTGTGCTACACTCTGCCTTTTGCGTGGCACTCGGGCCACCCTGGTCTTTCTGTCTATTCCTTACACACACCCCAGGGCCTTTGCAGGGGCAGCTTCCTCCACCTCCATCCATCTCCACCTTAACTCTTCCAAAGCTGGATCTCTCACTTCATTCAGGTCCCTGCTCACATGACACTTCCTCAGAGAGGCTTCCCTTGACCACCTTATCTGAAGTTGGCCCTATTTCAACACCTTGTATGGTTCCTTCATAGCACTTATCTTAACTTGCAGATATTTTGTTTTTTCCCTTTTTTGGAAGAGATGGTATGTCTTCCCCACTAGACTATTAACTCTATGAGGGCAGGGACTAAGACAGTTTTATTCACTGTTATATCCCCAATATATATATTATAAGTACCATGTCTGGCAAACAGCAATATCAACTGTTTTTATTTTTATGTGTTGAAGCAATGCTCAGTGTCTATTTCTACGCACAACCCCCCCCCCCAAACAAAAAACGAAATTCATGAAAATGTAAAAACTTTAGAACCAACGTTTGTGGCACTCACTTCCAGAATGCCTTTTGCCAAGGTCTCTCTGACTACGCTTCCAGCTCTGAGTGCTCTTCTGCTCCTCATGGCCCCTGCCTCATAGGTGCATGACCAGCCCGCATGAGGGGACTAGGTCCACACTGGAGGGTCAGGAGGAGACTCTGACTTCCTTCTTTCGACAAATATGTATCTGGGGCCTCACATAGGAAATCTTTCAGAACTACCGAAATTCCTACTGAAAGGTTCATGCAGTTCACTTCAAAACAATCAACTTTGTATCTCATGAATATTCATAACCAATTTTTAAAAATGATGTTAATGTAAAAATCAAACAAAAAAACAAAACATAAGAAGAGGTGACTGAGTCCCATGCGAAATTTATCCGACCAGGAAGTAGGGGTGAAAAATCCGGGTAACTGACAAATTCCCCGGCTGGTTCTTACCATCGGACAAGATTGGGAAACTTGTGCTGTGCTTAAGAGCATGCGTTTTGCTGAGATTAGTCGTCCTTTTATTTGGAGTCTTAGGAATTTTCTCCCTCCCTCTCCCCGTTGCCTGCTGCCTCCCTCTGCCCAGAGCCACTGTGGTAGGACGGCCGACTTTACACTGTTGGCACAGCCAGGTACCCATTCTCCACCTCCCCTGAACTATTCTTCACAAGAAAAGATCATCCCCTGCCCCTTTTTCAAGGTAATACTGCTCTTGGCTGTTTTGTTTGCTTCCTGAGCTTTCTCCAGCCCCCTTCTTTTATTCTACAATAGTGTCCTACCCACAGATAGACAGGGAACCCATAAAACAGTGAAATAATCTCACCAGTTGCTAATTTTCACTGTTGTACACTTGATTTAAGTTGGAATTTTTTTTATATTTTGTTAAAATACATGTAACTTAAAGCTTGCCATTTCAGACATTTTTAAACATACAATTCCATGGAATGAATTACAGTCACAATGCTGTGTAACCATCACCTCTATCTATTTCCAAAACTTTTTTTATCATCCTAAATATAAACTCTGTACCCATGAAGCAATAGCTTCCTATTATTCCTTCCCCCCAGTTTCTGGTAACCTCTAATCTACTTCTGCATTTTAATTTTTTTCTTTTTAACTTATTTTTTCTTAATTGATAGGTTGGAATTATTTTTGATGACTTTATGACAATGTGAGAGCAAAGAGATGATACTATCTCTGTTTCTTGCTGCTGTGTGATCTTAAGACAAGTCCTTTCTCCTCTTTGAGACTCAATTTTCTCATCTATAAAATGGGGATATTCATTCATTCAACCGCTGTTTATTGAATACCTATTGTGTAAATTACCTCAGAGATACTCGTCAACATTATCACAAAGTAATTATGGGGACTGAGCAGGATGGTGTACACGGTATCTGGCTCATAGTCAACATCCAATAAACGTTGCTGTTAATTTTGCCCTATGAGCATTGTAAAGCATCAAGTTTTGAGTAATTCCAAGACTTACAATAAACAGATGTAGAAACTGTTAACAAGTGCTTAGGAGACATCACAGTCCCGCCTTCATAAATTAGAAGGCCAGCAGAGCTCACTCCCTTGGGCAGGGACTTACGTGAAGCCTGACTCAGCCATACTAAGGCTTTTGCACCAGCCCTAAATGCAACTCTTCACTTGGGCATGGCCAATTAATCACTGAGGTTGGTTTTTGTTTCATTTGTTTGTCTTACACAAGGGCGTCAAATAGAATAATTTTTACTATATTGGCAGATATTTCTTTACCATTTTCTTTTAAAATGCTCCTTTATTGTTTCTAGCATTCACTTATTCATTCATTTATTTCAACAAAAATGTATGGGCCTCTGTGCCCGGTGCTGCTGCAGGTGCTAGGGACATAGCAGTACACCTCTCAAAGTCTCAGCTCTCATGGAGCTGACATTCTAGTGGGGGTCCATATATTGCCCTCCCCCAACTTCACACTAGACTGTAGAATACCTGAGATCAGGGGCTGTGGTGGTGGTCCTTCTTTTTGCTCCTCTCTTAAACACACAGCACAGAGCACAGCTTGGGGCATGGAGGATGCCCTCCAAAAAGTCTTACACTTTTTTAAAAAATTTATTTTTTATTTTTTATTTTTTTAAAAGATGACCGGTAAGGGGATCTCACCCCTTGGCTTGGTGTTGTCAACACCACGCTCAGCCAGTGAGCAAACCGGCCATCCCTATATGGGATCCGAACCCGTGGCCTTGGTGTTATCAGCACCGTGCTCTCCTGAGTGAGCCACGGGCCGGCCTAAAGTCTTACACTTTTTGATGGCTCACTATGCGCCAAGGATTATTCTAAGCATTTGTGTACATTATTTCATTGAATTCTCACAGAAACCTTATGAGGTGGGCACTATTTTTACAAGTGAGGCAACTGAGGCATGGACAGGTTAAGAAATGTGACCAAGTTCCTGAAGCTAGTAAGTAACGAAGCTGGGATTGGAACCCCTGTCATTCCACTCACATTGTCCTCATTTGGAAGTTCCTATTGACACCACTTTCAAATTGAGTGGAGCCCAGAGTCCCGGCCTTGGGCCTCAGTTGATATTTTCCCTGACTGCAGAGTCGTGGGGTGGCCCTTTGTGCTAGGCTGAAAACTGAACATCTGGGACAGAGCAAGCTGATCCTCATGAATTTGTTCATTTTTCTGACTCACCTTGGTTACCTCAGTTAAGTCCAGCTCAGGTAAACAAAACAAAAAACTCAGTAGAGTTGTTTCTATAGCAAAATAAGAAAACATTCAAGAAATTTTACAAGAGATGAAGTGCATGGGTTCTTTGAGACTAAGATCAAACAAATTCTATCTATGAAAATACTAAATAATACAAATAAAGCTCTTGTCAGCTGCTGGAGACCCTGGTTTTTAACACCGCACACTCCTCCGGTTTGTTCTCAAGATAAGAGACACACTATCAAAGGCTGACCAGATACCTACTTTCATTTGCAAGGCTACTACTGGCAGGTCCACGGTTGGGGGAGACATGTATTTTCTTATCTAGAAAAGAAGAAGAAAACGTGATTGGAAATGGAATCTCTGGAGCTGGGTTAGAAAGTGCCTAGCAGCATCCTAGAGGTCCCAAATTGCCTGCCCCTCAGTTTTTGGAAAACTGGCATATTTTCTCTCATCAGGTGCTAAAAAAACCAGAAAAGCTTCTGTTTTAAAGCCCCTTTGGACCTTGTTCCCATCTTCCAGGCAGTGTTCCTGATTAAGGGTCACTGACTTCCTCAACAGGTCCTGGACTGTCAGTCACTAATTAATACAACTGATCACAACATTAGCAGGAGAGTGTGAAGAGGTTGCAGCAGTCTTTGGTGATAAACATTTCCTTGTGAATGTGTCTACAGGTTTTGAGAACGGGATAATGCTTTGCCAAATAGTTTTGCCAAGATGTGCCTGGCTTAGAGTAGATGCTTACTAAATATTTGCTGAATTGGATTTGAACTGTATAGAGTTGCTACGTTTGGCAGGTGATGATTTCTGTTCCACGCAACCACTGAGACAGGGCTCTGCTGTGTGTGTGTATACAGGCATATATAAACACAGTTGGACTAATTTTCCCTCTGAATCCAGTAGGAGAAGATTTTTGAAAATAAGTGCAAGGGTGGAAATTGTCACAAGTTTTCCAAGCATGACATTTTTATGATTTACTCTCTAAGTACATTCCTAGTCAAACTCTAGAAATGACAGAGTGGTATTTTAATGAGAAGTTTGCTTTCAGCATTAGGATGGAACACAGTACCTGACTTGGTTAGGCTATGCTGAACATACCCTTTGGGCATTATATACTTGTTCAGAGTACAGAATGCCAGAGGATGCAGACTTGGCCCCACAAAACTATAAAATATATATTATTACAAGTATTTCACATGAAAGGCAAATCTTGCATCAGAGCGGATTGCTTTTTTGGTGAAAGTATAATTCAGGCCAATACTTTCCCATCCTTTTACAAAGAAGAGAGTCTTGTTTTCTGATGGGTATTTTGCATCAAGTTGGCACTAATTAAATATTTGTTGGGTGAGTTAGTGAATGAAGAAGTGAGTCAGCCTTAAGGGTGTTTTTAGCTCAGGGGGAGGGATAGTGGTCAGGGAGCAGGAACCCAAAGGAAACCAAGCAGGAGGAGCCCAGTGCATAGGAGTGAGCCACAGACAGCCAGGCACTGTTACATCTCCAGGCAGCAATAGGGCTGCTTCTATAGTCCCTTTGAATTTTAATGTGTGGAGCAGATGGTTGGTATAGATTGCCCTTGTTTTTGCCCAGGATCTGGCATCATTGCAAGTTGCCAACCCATTTGGAGGATAGAGTTTGAGCTCATAGGTACATCACAGAGCTCTGTTCTGTAAATGGATTATTTAGTGGCTCCCAACAAGGTAAATGCGGGACCCTGCGATTTTAGGCAGCAGCCCATCATTTTTCTAGGGTAAGGCAAAGTCAACAGCCTGGGGTAAATATTTCAGGCCAAGTCCATCTGGCTAGCTATCTACGTAACCCTTTAGCCATTAAACTGTAAATGTCAATGAAGCTTAGTGAAGATATATGGAACATTTAAGCAGAACATTCCATCCCTCAACAGCCCCATGTCTGGAATGGCAGCACTTAGTATCAGCACCCCATCTCATGCCAACTCGCTCTCAACCGCAACCAATCAGAGGCAATCCTCCAAGTATCTGTAGGTATTTCCTTACGGTAGACTGAGCCGGGAGGCAGATTGAGGAGCAATCCCGTGCTTCCAGCTATCTGGACAGGGTTGTAATCCTCTCTCGTGGCAGATTCCTGAGGACGAGCTAAGCATTTGTCTCGATGGTGGAGACTTAGGAGGGGCTCACATTTCCCATCAGGACGGGGCTCTGGAGCCAGGTGCCCAGAGAGGATTGCATGAGGGTAGCAAGGCTCTGGGGAGCTGGGGCTGGCTAGGGAGGATAAATGCCACAGCTCCGCAGGCTGAGTGGAGGGGCTCCCAGTCAGGGAGTGCGGGAACTGAGCCACAGCCACGGGATCAGGCACATTCAAGCTGCGGCTGGCAACACCATTTGCAAGAGATACTTCTGGCTGTGGCTTTGTCCATGGAGGAGAGATACGCCATTGATTTGGAGGCATGTCACTATCTGGGAAGGAAAGATTTAGAAGACATGTTAGGTGTTTATTATTTTCAAAATGAAAGTAGCTTATTTTTTTTCTTACATATTTTTATATATTACTATACATTTTTATATGTACTATATATTTTTTTACTTACTATATTTTTGAACTTGAAAACAACATAGAAAAAGTTTTAAATGTCACCTTAATCATAATATCCAGAAACAGCCACTGTCCACCTTTAGATGTACTTTCTTTCTAGGATTTGTTTCTATTCATGAATGCATTGTTTTCACAACACGCATAGTTATTTAAGCTCCTTTTGCTTCATTAAAATATCATGAATATTCTCCTATAGCAGTGAATAGAGCCAAGCATGAGCTTTTTAAATGGCTGGACAGTATTCTGTCATAAGGCAGTAACATACCTACCAAATGTCATACTTGTGGGCACCTCAGTTGTTTCCATTTTTTCACTTATATTAATTACATTGCAATTGCTCTGTTGTCCAATTAGCTTTTTTTTATTGAATCATAATTGATTATACATATTTTGGGGATTCAATGTTGACATATGTTGATCAAATCAATATTACTAGTATGTATATTGTTACAGATTGTACATATCCTTTATGCTCCTTTTCCAATCTCTCCCTATCTCCCCTCCCTCCCCAATTAGCTCTTTAAGGAAACTTCTAGAAATAAAAGTTCTTGATTCATGTTTGGTTGCTGCTGTTGTTTAGCTTTATTTTATAGCTGGTGTTTTAAATATACCAAATAGGAGGACTCCACAGAACTTTATAAAGGGCTTAATGCTTGTCTATGTTGGCCACTCACACAACTCTAGGGGTTGAAATCACATTTTCCAGAGAAATCAGGGGCTCAGGGACATTAAAAGACCAGACAGAGGTAGTCAAGCTGATTAGCCACGTAGGGAACTGGGCTGGAGTGATGAGTGATGGATAAGAAAGTAGTTGCTTGGACCTCATCCTGTAAATTCAGAATGCTCAGGGGTAAGAGGTGACTCTGTTTCTTCTTGCAAAGTTCATGTGGACTGGCTAATAGGGATGGAGTCTCCTTTGGTCCCACAGACACTATTCTAACTGTGCCTATGATAGTGGCTGAACTTGAGACATCAAATGTCTAGGGTAGCTCATGATGTGAATGTATGTTTTCCCCATTCTCAGCACTCTGGCAAGAGGGGAGGAAAGGAAGAGCTCTGCCAGATGGTGCTTTAGGCTTGGAGCCTTTCTTCTATCCAAGATAATAAAGGGGGGTATGGGTGTGGAACAAAGGAAGATTGGCTGGCTGGAGAGGCTGTTTGGGACTGGCCACCTTTCCCTCCACGTGCACCCATCCCAGCTCTCCTGAATGTTCAATTTGACTGCATTTTGTACTGGAGTGCCCACCCCCACCTGCATAGCTTTCTGTGTGTACAGATGATGAGAACAAAAGCAGCTCCAGCCCACGTGACACAGACATTCTGCCCGGCATCTCACACTGTTCCCAATTAGCGATGGCATTGGCCTCTTCTGATAAAACCAAGGGCAAGGAAATATATTAAGATGTGTTCCTGGAGGTGAATGCTACTTTTGAAAATTTTATCTTCAGGCCAGCAACAATTTAGGGCACTCCGTGGCACAAATAGAGTGATTAAGCTAATTCGGTATAATCACTGTCTGCTTCATATTGAATGAGGTTACTGCATGTCCTAAGCACAATTTAGAAACAAAGTTTAGCCTCTGACAATAGGGCAGTTGCCATCTGAACTCGCCTTACAGATCTCATACATATGACCTAGGCACTGAACATTTGAAATGGTGAAGGCAGAGCCCCAGAGTATTTTGAATATTTCTCTTAACTTGCTTCCCTTCCAGAATTCTCTGGCTGAAATGTTAAGGGAAGTGGGTGGTGTGACACTGTCCGAGCTCCCGTGTGGTACAACAGAGCACAGTTTGGATGGGAGCTTGTGGAGACGCACAGGGTGTTCCAACCCCAAATTCACCAGAACCCAATGGCGGGACTTGGGTGGCCAATGGACACCCACCTTTCTAGATTAGCCTTGGGTTTGGTTGACTATGGAGTGGAGACCCTGAATTTGGATGGGCCACTCTTTCTCAGGATTCTTGGGCCAACTGCTCCAGCAACCATGCCCATCTATCCTGTAAATGGGTGAAGACATCTTAAACCATAGCCTGGACTGGCTCAAGACTGCTGCTGTTGTTAGAAGTGGCCCTGATGACGTTTTTCTTACCCAGGTGCCCTTCTTAGTTACCTCTGGAAGTGAGAGAGGGAGCCCCAGAGGAAACTTGGCTGCCTTCTCAAATACCAAACTATATTAATGAATGGAGAGCGGGCACGGAAGGCTTTGATTCAGGGACACTTGGGCCGGGCTAGGATTTTTCCTTCAGTAGGAATACAAAAGGCTTCCACTCCATATACTCCAACCTTGGGCAATAGACCCTACCTCTTAGTCCCATCCCTGTCCTAAGACTACGCCCAATCCAGAGAGTGCTAGTCTCCATTTACCTCTCTACTCCTTTAGGGTGAAACTGGCAGGCCATTGCCCCTGCCTTCCAAGCACCCCCAGAGACGCCAGCTTCATCTTACCCATGTACATTGCTGGGAGGCCCAGAAACCTCTAGAAATCACCTCTAGAAACTGAAATATTTGCCTCCACCCCAGAGGATCTTTCTTCCACTCTATCCTTGCATGGTGGCCCTGACACCCTATTCCAGATTAGTTTCTGGACACACAAACTTAAATGTCATCCTTTCAGAAAGGCCCACCCTGAACCTCCAACCTAAAATTTGTTATTCTGTTACTCTCTGTGACTACTCCCTGTTTATTTCCTCCATAGCAGTAATCCTGTAATTTCTTCATTCATTCATTCATCCACTGTCAGTTTTCCTCAACAGTGGCCAAAAACCGACAGGGAATGAATGAATGAAGAAATTACAGGATTACTGCTATGGAAATATTACTATCCAGTAAGCTTCAAGAAGGCTGAGATCATATTTCTTTTGTTCACTATGTTATACCCAGGAGCTTTCATAGTACCTGGCCCATAGTAGGCCCTGACTAAATCTTTTTCTAGTGAATATGCACACATGCAGTCACACACGTGTGCACACACATGATTACACACAAACCATACTGTTCACGTGCACAGTTGCAAACAGGTACACACTCACAAACACATGCACTCTCACACGTGTGCGCACACACACACCTCCCCACTGAAACTTTCTATATTGAGGAGAGTAGCATGCAAGGTGGCTAAGAGCACAGATTGTAAAGTCAGACAGGCTTGAAGTCCAATCCCAGATCTGCCACTTCCTAGCTGTGTGACCCTGAGAAAGTCCCCTCCCACCTGTGAGCCTGTTAGGACTGTGGTAAGATTGAATGGGGCAATCCACGTTAAGGGACTAGCACAGTGCCTGCTGCACAATAGGCACTCAATAAGTGGTAGTTGTTGCTGTTGTTGTTATTAATCATTTCAGTTCATAAACCCACTTTGGGTTTCCTTCTTTACTGGTTTGCAACATTCAATGTAACTAGCCCAGGAAAAAGTGAAACTGCAGTTAATGGATGAGACCTGAGACTCCTCCCTGCCATCAGTCACCTAGTGACAGTGAAGGGAGGGACAGAAAGGACTGAGCTGAGAAACCCACAACAGCAGCAGAAGCATCAGCAGTTCAGGGCTGGTGTGGAGGATGGAGTAGATATTGGTTATAAAACAGAGGTTTTAGAAGCCTTTGCTCAGTCTGTGTCCATTCCCACGGAATAATAAATATATCAGAGGGGGGCAGAAACAATTCGTAAATACAGAATAGCTTTTCCTTACTGAGCACTTACTGTGGGCCAGGCACTTTGCTTAGCACTCTGCATACATATCTCATGTGATCTTCACAGCAACCCAGATGAGAAAATACTGAGTGGTTAACGTAACTTGCCTAAGGCCACACAGTTAGCAAGTGATAGAGCTATCTGATTCCAAACCTCGTGCTCTCACCGGCTATGCCTTCCCAATGTTGCAAGAATGCAGTGAACTGGGCGCTTTCACACGCTTCCGTGGTTGGAAAGGTGGCAGATTGCCATAACTTTTCTGGGGAGCAATTTGTTGGTACATATCAAAACCCTAAAATTTGCACATAACACTTGACCCAGGCATTCCACTTATAGCAATTTATTTTAAGGATATCGTCAATGATGAGTGTAAAATTTAGCTACAAGGATGTTCAAAGTGGCATTTATAATATAGTGAAAGATGAGCAGCAACCTAAATGTCCAAACACTTTAATAAATTTTGTATATCTATAAAATGATACTTTAAAGCCATTAAAATAATGTTGTAGTGGAGCATGTATTGGCATGGAGAAATATGTATGACTTATTGTCAAGTAAAAAAAAAACAGGTTATGACTCATTATGTATAAAATGATGTCATGTTGTTAAAATTAGTATGTGTGTATAGATACACATGTGGTTTTTGCTGAATGCTTATCTGTGTTTTTTAAGTTTTTACAAAAACGAACAAATATTATTTTTGTAATTAGAAAAGGTTTACATCAAAAACTTAAGAAATGACTTCACCAATAAATTTCCCAAAAGGTGAGTCACAGTTGTGAACAACCAATCCATAATTGCCTAATTTCCTTCCATTCATCCTTTCTTCTTTCCTTCCTTTTCCCCTCTCTGACTGTGTCTTTAACACAAATGTTGCTTTTTAAAAAATTGGTTATGAATATTCATGAGATACAAAGATGATTGTCATCCCTCATGCCCAAGACGTGAAGTCCAGATCCATACTGGCAGCATGCCCATAACCACAAGTTGTGATCGTACCCCGTATCCCCCACCTAATTATCCCCGGCCTCTCTCCACAAATGCTGCTTTATGATGAAGTTGAAACTGAGAACCCTTTGAACACACACACACACACACACACACACACACACACACACATCCTGCACCATGAAAGTCCAAACTTTGGCCTGCCCAATCTGCACACATCTACTCTCCCT